GTAAGTAAAGTAAGTAAGTAAAGTAAGTAAGTAAAGTAAGTTAAGTAAGTAAAGTAAGTAAAGTAAGTAAAGTAAGTAAGTAAAGTAAGTAAGTAAAGTAAAGTAAGTAAAGTAAGTAAAGTAAGTAAAGTAAGTAAAGTAAAGTAAGTAAAGCAAGTAAGTAAGTAAAGCAAGTAAGTAAAGTGAGTAAGTAAAGTAAGTTAAGTAAGTAAAGTAAGTAAAGTAAGTAAAGTAAGTAAGTAAAGTAAGTAAATAAAGTAAGTAAAGTAAAGTTAGTAAAGTAAGTAAAGTAAGTCAGTCAGTCAGTCAGTCACTCAGTCACTCACTCTTTATTTATTTATTTATTGAACCAGGCCAGTCCCATTGAGATCTCAGATCTCTTTTTCAAGGGCTTCCTGGGCCTGAAGGCAACCTATTGTACATGTTTTTTGMMGGGTGGGGGAAACCYGAGTACCRGGAGAAAACCCACGCAAGCACAAGGGAAAACATGCAAACTCCGCACAGAAAGACCCCAGGTCRGAACCGGGGATCGAACCCACGACRATATTATAAAAAACTTACAATCAAATGTCACTTTTTAAGACTCTGTAGGAAGTCTTTTATAACACGTGACTGGAGCAAAATCAAAGACTTACGAAGTCCTGGAGGGTAACTTTCCTGCATGTTTTATCTGTTTCCCTGCTCCAACACACCTGACTCAGTGATTGAATTAACTCTCAGGCATGTTTGAAGAGAGAAACTTGCAGGATAGTCGCCTTCGAGGACCAGGACTGGACACCCCTGACTTAAAAAAATGTAAAAACCCTAAGCAACAACTCACCCACTGGTGTATTAACTTCCCCCACTCCTCCGGTCGTCTCCACATGACTAAACACCGTGACTTATTTTTGTCCAACCACTCCAGGTTGCCTGTGTTAATACAAACATAAACATGTTTATTACTGCTAAAACTTAATTACTTATTCTCAGCACTATAAAAACAAAGACAGAATAAAGTGTACCTTTTTTCCTTAATTCCTCAAACACAACTTGAATTGCTTCCACTGGRAGTTTTCCTGAAATCGCATTAAGGTCAAACAAAACACAAACTTTTTGTATGTTTGACTAAAATCAGAAAAAATAAAAGGAGAAATAAAATGACTCGAATCGAATCAGGGCAGACTACATAAAAGGAGGAGAAAATGAGGTGAGACTGTCTTTAAAATAATAATAATGATGAATTTAATTTTAACGCACTTTTCATTAACAAAAATCTCAAAGTGCTACAAACATCAAGTGGCGAGAAAAAAAACAACAACTTCTAAAATCTGTTGTAAATCATAAAGTCACTGCAATGTGAATAAACATGAATTTTATGTTTGTGGAGTTTTACATCTCATTAAAGGGGTGAATTATTCATCTTTTCCTAATAAAATATAATGTTTAGTGGATTTTGGCCTGGATGTAAAATCAGGATACGTTCTATCTTCTTGTTGTTGAACACAAGGCTTTCCTGCGCCTCCATGACATCCAGAGTGTAGAGCTTGTGATGCCGGCAGTATGACAGAACCAGGGAACACCATGCTGCCAGCTGTTTCTGTCTCGTGTCGACATTGGGCTGTAACCTAGAAGCAGAAACAGAGTTAAASYCTTCACTGACATCARGGTGCAATGAAACTGCAGACATTTCTCTTTGGGTGTCGTGCTGTTTATGGTAACAAAAATGTGCTGATACAGTGCAGTTTCAATGTACTGTRCATAATGCGACTGCAGAGTTACACGGCACAAGACCTGACAGTTAAAGGCTTAAAAAAGGGGGAAAGCTGTTATGTTGTGTACAAGTTGTTGTACCACACAGTGATATTGTAAAGTTCTGTAAACTGAATAAAATGTGACAAACGTTGAACAGTCAGCAGAGAATCGTCACATTTTCCAATAAATGTCAACACAAAACTTGTTCATCCTTTAAGTTTAGGACACCTTTTACGCCTGAATATTTTATAGATCAGAGTCAGAGTTAAGGAGCTTATCTATCCATCTTCATCCACTTCTGTGGTTGGATCCTGGAGGCAAACGGTCCAGAAGGGAAGACATCCCTTTCCTCAGCAACACTTTCCAGCTCCTCCTGGCATTCTCAGACCAGTGAGTTCTGGATCTGCCCTGGGAAGTACATCCTAATCGAAACACACACACATCCCACCCAGACTAAACCTGATGCAAAAGKACAGCATCTCTTCTTGGAGTTCATCAACGTATATCTGAGGCTGAGCCTGGCAACCCTCATTCTTTCACTCACAATCACAGGTGAGCATTGGAACACAGATGGACCAATAAATGAAGAACATTGTCCTTTGGATCAGCTACTTCTTTACCACGGAAGACTGGAATTAACATCCTCATTACTACAATTAAGCCCTAATCTTTCAATTCAATATCTCCCTCTATTCTACAGTCACTCGTCAGCAGGACGCCCAGATACTTAAACGATTGTATCTAAATCTTAACAAATTGGAAAATAATTTTAACTTTGAAAATGGTCAGGTACTGCAATTAACATTTTTGAAAAGCATATAATTCCAAAGAAAAGTGTTGAACGACATTCAGAAAGCATGATTAGGAAATATTGCTTGAGACAAARTTAGATTACAAAATAAAGTCTGATTTCTTGAGAGAAAAATGTGAGTTTTCCACTGCACTAATAAGTCTGTTACTAAGTGCATCCTTTTCATTTTCACTTTTAATTTACTATAATTTCAACTACTGAAGTCTCTCTGTTGTTGTCTAGTCAGTGTTGTATTAAAATGTGTTATTGTGATGGATCAAGCAAAATAAAACCCTGAACAGAAAGAAAAACATCAGTGCAAAAGGGGTTATGTGTTATGTTCCTCCAAGCCTAAGGTTAGCAAGCAAGATATTAAAACAGCGTTTTCTCTCAATCCAAACTAATCAAACATTAATAATTATATGTAATCAAATATTTGTTAGTGAAATAGTCTACATGAACTACTAAACCAGGACAAAAATAACTGCTAACAAACTTTGGGAAGCCTTAAAATTTCCACTTCCTTAGCAATCAGTCGTTTAGCCTGTTAGCTTGCTATCGTAATGCTAGTTCGAAAATTAGCACGTCTCGGTTCAGATTCACCTAAATAACACGGATTAATAAACACGTTTTAACGCTGTTTTTAATATGTAGCTCCTATTATTTTAACTCACGTAAAAAATGGTGGGAAGTTGTATTGCCAGGGCCACTCAAAACTCATCGCAGTTGATGCGGTGTTCAGCAGCTGACAGCTTCCGGAAGCGGCTCCTACAGTAAAATAGTTCCGGGCGGCTACACGAACCAAACGGAACTAGCGATTATTATCATTATTATTAAACAGCTTTGAATCAGTATTTTTAAACAGTTCAACTGTAATTAATAACAACCAGTGACAAAAAAGTACTTTTCATTTCTTTAAATACATTATATTAGCATTTTTTCCCCAAAAAGGTCCCAATGTAATTTCAGATAAATATTTGAGTCTTGGATGCACATCTAACATCATTATTAGAAATAACCATATCACCCTTCAGTTTTGCCAAAAGTTATTTTATTATTGAAGAATGTGTGCATTTTCAGCAACCTTCAACATATATTTGCCATTTATTGCTATTTACAAGTTATACATTGCTGCTAACATTCACTATTCATCTTCACTGATTTTCCTACAAGCTATCAAAATAAAATCACTACATCTTCATACGGCGTTATTTTTACAATCTCTTAGGTACAATTCAGTGAAAAATAATCTAAGTGTGCATAAGTTATCTATTTCACTTTCTACTCCACAGTAAAATGTTGGCATTAATTTTCATATTTATTACATTTCTATACAACAAGAAATTTATTGGTAAATGAGTTGACTGAAAAGAACAAATATAAAACATTAGAATATTTGTTATTGCCTTATTAAGAGTAACATCAAATCCAAAACAATGAATATAAACATTTTTTTAAGTTTTAAAACAAAGGTAAAACAATCATCTTTTTAAGACATTAATGCATCCATCCAGGTTGAACCCACGCTATAATGAAACTGAAATTTAGAGAAACTGAAAAAAAAAACCAAAAACAAACAAAAACACAAAACATCCAAACAAGAGAAAATGGCTTGGGATATTTCAGGAGTCTTGAGGAGAAAAAGCAATTTTATACAGTCCTTTCTTGGAAAAAAAAAAAGGAAAAAAGAAACAAACAAAACAAACTCTACATTTTGTTTTTTATAAAATTCAAACCACACCTGTCTTCACCTGAGTGCATCAAAGTTCAATCCTGAAATACTGAAAAAATGACTAAAAATCCCTCATTATGTCTGGAGACACTTTTAACTTGTGTTAGAAAACATGTTTTAGATGGGGTGCCGAAGCTGCATGCAAACCACAAAGCCGAACCTGAAACTAAAAAAAAACAAAAAACAAAAAAACTGGAGCGCTTCTTTGTGCTTTAGCCAAAAATCTGATCGTATTCGTTTAGGATGAACTCGACTATCTGGTTCTGAAAGACCATGTGCATGGTGATGTTGGCGGACTCCATCTCTGGTCGAAGCAGCGTCGGACCGAACACAATCGCCACGTTTTGCACCGTCATTCGGTTGTCCTCGCCGTAGTCGATGACCCTGCCAGACAAAAACATTTCTTAACACAAGCAACACTGTTGTAGTAAAAATAAATAAATAAATAAATTACAGCAGCAAATTTAGTAAGAAAACTTCAATATCTCAAGCTAGATGCTTTCTTTATAGCTCAGTGATTTACCCTGACTGTGAGCTTCAAAACAACTGTTTTACTTAATAATTTGATCCTTTATCTTCGTATGCTTTGTTTTTACTCTGTTTTGATCTTATTCTGTTTAATTATGTCTGGGATTTCTTAAAAGGTCACTGTAAATAAAGACAAAAACCTTATTTAAACTAACAAAACACATAAAAAGTGCTAATAATGCAACAAAACATGGACTAAATGACCAACATTTGCACTACTATCCTTATAATTTTTATTGGTTTATGACAGTTTTAATCTTCTGTAACAATTAGAGAAAATACGCTGTATGAAATAATTTTTAACACTATTTAAAACACATGATTAAACGTCCTCTGCTTAGACCCGATAAATGTGCTTTAAAAGATCCACCACATCTTTATTTCTTAAGAAATGGCACACAAAAAGGCTTCAGTTTGGTGTAAATACAAAATAAACTGTAAAATCTACACCATAAAAACACAAAATTGTTGATTCCTGAAGATATTTTGCTTCTAATATGAGGAGATTTCCATTATTAACTTGCTTTATGGTCTCCTTGAAGAGTCGTTTTCACATATTTGTTTAAAGTTGGACACAATGAGATGAAGACATTAAGCAGATGCAGTAAAATGGTGATGCAGACCTCTGTAAATGCCCAAAAAGCAGCTTCATAGTGTCGTGGTTCGAAGGAGGAAGTGAACTGACCAGGTCAATAACGTGAGACAGTTTTGTGTTGTAATCTGCGATTCCTAGAAAAAGAAAACCAAGAGAAAAAACAAAAACATCAGCGAACGGGAGCCGAAGTTAGAGACCTGCAGATCCTAAAAGTCTGCTCACTGATGGCTCCGACGAAGCTGTTGAAGTGGCTGAAAGGGAAAAGCGGGTCGGGAAGCTCCCGGAAGAATAACTTCAGCGCTCCGGTGATGACGTGGACGTCCTCCCACTGACCGTCCTCGAGGTCCAGCTCCTCTGTTTGAAAACACAACAGTGGCGCAGAGCGTCAAAACCCAGCAGGGCGGGGGCGGGGCAACTACAGTCTGAAAGTAAAGTTCAGATATTCTTACCGTGATCGGCCTTGAAGCGAAGTTTCTGTATGACGGCGAGGTTCCCGCTGACTCTGTAGAGCCCATCGATGTCTAAACCTGCGGAGAAACATGGCGGCTAATTTAAATCCACTGCTGTGAGGCAGACAGGAAACCAAATGTATGAATTATTATTTAGGTGCTCGCCTCTTTTTTCCACCGCTTTAATGCATTTATCCACAAAACTGGGAATGGTGGTGTTCTCCTGAGTACACAGGTCGGTCAGATGACAACCAAACACGGTTTCTGTGTGATTAATTAATTAGRAAACTATTAAACATTTGAGACAAACGAATCTGTAAATAACCCATTCGAAGCTGGGAGGTGACAAGCGTTCAAATCAACCAGCGTTTGAATTCACCTCTGATGTAGCCTTTATCTTTGACCGACTGCAGCGTCGGGCGCTTCATGAGCAGCTTCATCAGCTTGGTTCGGACCTTCTTCGGGTCGGTTTCCCCGGCGTTGCTGGGCGAGRGCGTAACCTGTGGCTTGTAGGCTGCAGAGACACAGAACGGCTTTGTGAAACGGGCTCAGTTAAATGAGGAACGCTCTAGTTTTCCACCGAAAAGGAACAAATAGTAGAGCGTACATTTTCGCTTTTCTGCCTTGTCTTGTTCTGGGTTGCCGATCTTTTCGTACACGTTTTCCTCCTCTTCCTCTGAATGATGCTCTTGGTACTCCTAATGAAAACATATGAATATAACAATGTTTTTGTCTTTAAGTCGGTCCTAAAAAGGCCAGAATAACACATTTAATCGTATTACTACTGCAACCCAAATGGGAAAAATCAAAAATTATCAATAAGGTGTAATTTGCAGTTCCGACCACAAGATGTCAATCTTAACACATTAAAGCTAATATTTTTTACAGTTGAATTTTTTCACAAAGCCCTTTTTAAACATCAAACTGTGGAATATCAGCTGATGTTTTGTTTTAATGACAAAATAAACCCCTTTCTATAWGAAATATTGTTGACATAAACACAATTTAACTCAGATGCGAGTTAAATTAAGGCAGAAAATTCCTTAAAGAAATCAAAAAAAATCATTTAATGATAAAATAAGAGAGCTCAAAGTCAAATTTGAATTCAGTTTGGAATAATGTGAAGAAAAAAAGATTTCATAAAGAGAAAGGACACTAAGGACACTTTTTAGCTACTTTTTTGCTAACTTTAGCTGTTTTCTGCTATTTCAGCTATACAGTAGTTCTGCTTCTTTTTGCTATTCTTCTGCTTTATTTGTGCTTTTTCTGCTAATTTTGAGCTATTTATGCTTCTTACAGTTGCTTTCTGCTTTATTCAGCTGGTTTCTACAAATTTAGCTACATTTTAGCCGTTATTAGCTAAAGTTAGCTTTTTAGGCTAAATGCACATTTTTTGTAGCATTTAGAACTTATTCTGCTAAATTCAGCCAAGTTGTGCTCCTTATGCATCCTTATGCTAAATAAAATGTTTCCAGCTACATTTTAGCTGTTTTACTGAAAAACTCGGCTGTTTTAGCTATTTTACAATAAATTATCACTTTTCAGTAGTCATGCATTTCTCTCTGCTAATTRTACAGTTATTACAGRACTTTCACCATCTGGGTGCTAATTTCAACTTCTGGCTGCTACTTTAAGCTAGCTTTTATGCTAGTTTTAGCTGTTTTCTGCTATTTRATCTGTATTTCTTCTTTTTTCTACTGTTCATATGCCGTTTTTTTGTTAGCTTTTTGGTGTTTTTTTCCAGTACTTTGTGTTATGCATGTTTCTTACAGTTGCTTTCTGCTTAATTCAGCTATTTTAGCATTTAGCCTTTTTATGCTATTTCAGCTATGTTTTTGCTCTTTTTTCTGTTTTTCTTCCTTTTTTTGCTTCTTTCAGCTTTTCAAGTTTTACTTACAATATTACTTTTGCTATTAAACATGTTCAGCTCAATTTCAGCAGCTTTCAGCTAAAGTTTTCAGCAACAGGCATTCACACTAGCATTTTTGCAGGAAATGCAATTTCTGTAGCTCGGTTATATTCTATGGCAACAAATAGAAATGTAATTTTTTGGTGTTTTCCAGGGTTTATCTGCTCATCAGCAGTCACAGCAGTTTTCCATTTCCTGCAGCTTCGACACAAACATCAGTGTCTGGATGCAGGAAGCAGCAAATCAGCCTCATTTGCACATTCAAATCAATCCCATATTTTTTGTTTTTTATTTTTCCCCCCGCAGTCACTTACGAGTTGTCGAATAGTGTCCCCTAAAATCTTGTGCCAGTCAGTGATGATGCTTTCTGTGTCGTTCTGTAAGAGAAACTCCACACCGTTCTTCCCTTTCAGCTACAAGAAAGAAACAGAGAATTCTGTTAAAAAAAAAAAAAATCTGTTTTCAGCGTCACACTTTACGTTACGTCAACACGGATGCACCTCCAACACATTCTTTTTACTGGATTTGTCCTTTGTGGCCTTGTTAATCGATGCTCCTTTCAGCTCCACGGAGATCTCTGGGACGATCTGATTGGTCTTGTTCTACACGGCAGGAGGAAAAATAAAAATAAAAATGTTAAAAATCCAGCTGTTTGTGAAACCGACTGCGCCGCATTCCAAGAGGCGAGAAACAAAGAGCCACCCGTCCACGCCACGCAAGGGCTTGTCTGCCAACGCTCGCTTCTGAGCTTTGTTTCTCTTTTTAGATGAGGTAAACATCACAACAGGTGTCAAATTAAAAGTGTGAAAACGATACGGAGCACTTTAATCAGTAAGGACGTGACGTACCACCGCGCCTCCAGTAGATTTAGGGTCTTTGTGAAATGTCAGCACTCCTCCGCGAAGAACCGTCCACGTTGGAGTCCAGTTTTTCCTGAAGATAAAAAAAACAAGAACACTCACGAGGAGCAGAAAAAGGAAGGTGAATCCAAATGCACCTAAGCTGCGATRGCTAAACTTTTATCCAATCGAACGCCGTGACTTACTTCACTTTCTTTCCTTTCTCACACACTTTCGTTTTGTTGAGAATCCCGGCCTTCTCCAAGTTTGGCACCTGAAATTTTAACCCAGAGACCAACATTTTAATTCAAATTTTTAAATAAATAGAATATTTGTGTGGTACAAATTGTTAAGCGTGATGGTGGTGGGATCATGATGAAGTAACGGTGGAACATCGACATTTATCATAAAGCTGGACCCCATATGGGAGCCTGTGAGTTGAAAGCAAGAAGGAGAACAGCTGGTTTCAAGTTTTAAGTCCCGCCCCCTCCATATAACCTAAATCACACCTTGGATCATTTTGGTGCTGACTTGTGTTGATTTCAAACACTTATTCCTCTTATGTCTTTAGCTGTAATTAGTTCAAGCTTAAAAGAAAGGTCAGGTGACATCGTGATCGGAGGCGGGACTTAAAGCCACACGTCGGTAAAACATGGCAGCATCCAGAAATTTCTACTCCCTTTATATATGTACAGCACTTTGTTGCAGCTGTGGTTGTTTTAAAGTGCTTTATAAATAAAGTAGTAGTAGTAGTAGTAGTAGTAGTAGAAAACTGTGTCCTACTGGCTTTAACTCCCAACAACAGCAGGAAGTGAGGACATTTGGTTTATATGTTGATGGGAACAATAAAGGAGGAAGACTATCTTTGAAATGCTTCAGTTTCCCCTCAAATCAACATGTTTGGGTGTTCCAAAGCTAACGAAACTGGTTTTTGAAGGGATAAACATTAAACAGTTAAATGAGCTCAAGCCATAAGCTGCTGAAACGATCTTCCCAAAAACCTGAACTCAACATTGCTCTGAGTGTCTGTGGACCAGAAAACCAACCATTTTAAAATCGAGTCGACCAGTTCTAACAAGAAGAGCAGCCGGTTTCAGCTCAGATCTGAAATCACCAYATTTATTTAATGAATTTTGAAATTAGAGCTGCTTAAAATGTTAATGGACAAAATAAAGGGACATTTAACCAAATATTAGTGGGAGTTTGGTTATTTCTGACACCGTTTATATAAATTTAGGACAATCTACAAGAAACTCAGCCTTGTGAACCAAACTCCTGAACAAACACTCAACTCTGAAAACACAAAACGGTTCAGATAAATCATTTAAAAGCCCCAAATTATGACAACATTCAAGCTCATGGTGCATGGATTTGAACTTCTGACCACTGCTGTTAAATAAGGTTTTGTTTTATTTGACAGATTCTGACAGGATGTGCGACGCCACCGTCTTTGTTCTGTTTGAGTTCAAGGCTGGTGAAAGTTCATCCACTTCTAACCCTCTCCTTTAAACCGCTGCCAAAACCTCTAAAATAACAGAAGCKGACAAACGGAGGAGAAGGTCGTGAGGAGGAAACAGGTGTGTTTTCAGGTATTCGGAGCCTCAGTTTGTGACATTAAAAAAGCTTGTTGGTGGAGCTCATAATGAAGTTAAAAAAACACATTTCTGAAAGGATGACAATTTGGGTTTAAGAGGAGACGAAACAAAAGCTGTTGAGTGCAAACACCTCTGGAGTTCTGGTGCAGTGACTTCTGCTGCAGACGACTACTCCTGCAGCGCAACCACAAAAATCAGCATCTGAWGTTTGCAAACTAAACAAGCATGAAACACCTCGTCTTGTTGACTGAARATATAAATAGTGTCATATATTTAAAAAAATAACAGTTATAAGTAGCTACATACTGATGAGTGCGTATTAAGGTCTCAATATTTTACAAAATTATAAATAAAATCTATATTGTATGAGCTTAAGTCTTTATTTCTAAGCTAAATTAACTACAAACACAAAATGATTACAGCACGGTTGTAGCACTGGGTTGTTCGACCGGGCTTAGGGAGGACTGTTTTTACATAATATATGTTTTTATTAGTTAAATATAGTTATTTCTACGTGTTTTTGAACAGAAAATGAAGCTTTAATGTTTGGATTCAACATGCAAACAGTGAAGAGCGGGAGCACTTAGCAAGATGGCGGCCCTGAATGCCACCTATAGCAGTCAGTGGCCATTGCATCTATTTTTAAAAATTTTTAGGCTAATTTTGAACAACAAAGTAGCTGATTTTGTAAAATTTAACTGCTTTTTGGCTGCAAAAATGTACATTCAGAGGACAAAAACTGCTCAACAGTTTTCTTATTCCAGCGTATGAGTGAGAGTGATTCAAGCAGGAGGACACGGAGTGAAACAAACGCCCATTCAATGATCTAAAGTCACACTTTTTGCTTGTCATAGATGGATCTATGGGTCAAGCTCAGGTGAGTTTATCAGACCCACATTATATCGCAGCCACCTGGAGGTCAGATAATAAGGATTTCTCCAGGGTCTAAAACCGACAGCCTTGAGAGAGAGATGACAAAACATCGTTCAGAGGCCGACGCAGGTCGTRGCTCCAACTTTAATTTGCTCGTTGACAAATCTCACGCCTGGACTAAAAGGACACGAGGTTCACTTACACACTGCTGCGCCTCTGGAGAGTTCCCTGTGCTGGAGCTGTCGCTGCTGTAGTCCGAAGTGTTCCTCCTGTGAGTCGGGACGAACCTCTGGAATCAAAAACCAGCAGAAGTTCAGGTTTACAGGAACGGATTGTGTCAAATATATGGTTTTTAAGTTCTGATTAAAAACACAGAGCCACAGCCAACCTTGCTGTGCCCTTGGAAAAGCAGAGTTTTGTCGTAAAGAAAAGCACCGGCCCTTATTTGTATCCAGGCTCTCCGGTGTGTTTGTGCAAATGTCGCCTCTCCCTTCCTCCCCTCTGCACCTCYGTCTTTGTCAATCGGAGAGTAGCGCAGTTGATTTGCCTTGCCAAATACGGGTTAACCCCAGTGTTGGCTGATAAACACAGACTTGTGCTTTATATTTAGGCTGGCCGACACGCCCTGCATGTGTGACACAGCGTATCTGTGTGTGTGTGTGTGTGTGTGTGTGTGTGTGTGTGTGTGTGTGTGTGTGTGTGTGTGTGTACCCCATCATCCTGGGACGAGGAGAACTGGGCTGGTCCTTTTGAATCCCTCCAGTTCTTTATGACGGGAACATTCTCAGCTTCATCATCATCGTTCTCCAACCCAGAATGASTCGGACCTACAGGAGCCTAGAGGGTCAAAACAAGAAAACAGACGTGRTTTTGTGAGGAAAACCAAACCTATCAAATGAGTTAAAAAGAACATTTTAAATCATATCTGTTAAAGAGTGATGGATTTATACCTCGGGCAGGTTCCACTGGGACCTGGAGCCGTCTCTCAGGTAGTAATAGGACTGACCCTGATCGTCCACAGACTTGATCCACTGTTATAAAACAGAAAGAACATTTTTAAGCACAACTTACTGTCGCTTACTTTTCCAGATACTAACAATTACAATAAATAAGCTGAAAGTTGCTCCAGTCCACATTAAAGTTCTGTTTAGCATCTTTAAAAAGAGGCTGATAACGCTGTACAATTAGAACAACTGAGATCCATTTTTCTTCAATTCGTTTTTTTGCCACATAGTTCATTTAGCAAATTTTGTGCTATTTTAACAACTCCTGTATCAAAACATTCAGGAAACTCCAGCTGTGACTCTTGGTACTACAGCAATTTAAACTTTGAGATTTTTAGTGTTTTTCTGACATTTTTTTCTTAATGAAAATGGAACAGTCAAAACCTTTTCACCTTTTGTACTGTATTTAGCTTTTTCTTGCTTTTTTCAGCTGCTTTTCAACTCCTTTCTATTTCTTTCCACTATTATCAGCTTTTATGTAATTCTTTCACCTACTTTTGGTTAATTTCAGCTTTTTATGTTCCTTTCAGTTTCATTCTGCTAATTTACTTTCAGCAAAAGTCAACTGTTCAAATTGAACTTGCTTTAAAAGTTTAGCTATTAAACTTTTTCAGATTTGGCTTGAGTGACTTGAGCAGCTTTCAGAAAAATCTGTCGGCAATGAGCATTACTCTTGCAGGAAATGGAATTCTTACATAATTTTTTTTTGTTTGTTTTATTGTTATTTTTATTTCACCATTTATTTATGATCCCCACTACGTGAAGCAGGGGTCATATTGTTTTCTTACTGTTTTTTTTTTCCCCAGAGAGTTTTGGTCAACCGTAGCAGAGAAACCGCTGCACTTATCAGCATGAAATTAGGTAGGAATAGATGTGGCTGACCTACACTGGGCTAGAGAACAGTTTTGTGATAGACTCCATATTTCAACTGGGGCCGCCATTTCAAAAGTTGGTGTCTGGACATACAAAAATGCTTTTGTCAAAAACTATTCAACAGAGGAACTACAGACTTTTGTTGCTGTTTAGCTCTGATGAAGGGCTATCATTTCATCACATCATTGTGTTTCTATGGAACTTCCAGTAGGCAAAAGAATCAAAACACGACTGAAAATTATTATTTCAAGCCTGTACATCCATAAATTTGATCAGATCCTGATGAAATGTGGCACAAATGTTGTCCCACAGCCCCACATGCATGTTCATTACCTCCACCCAACACAGCTTCTACTCACAACGGTCTCTGTGGATCATTTCTATGTTTGTAAAGCATCTAGAGAACCATTTCCTGGAGAGATTAGTACATATATGACATCATGCATGTGAATGTGGTTTGTTTCACCACTCTACTCAAACAGACTCCAGAGAACAGATCTGTGGTTTTTCTTTTCCAGCAATAAATGATTTGATTTTTAAAGACCACTCCAAAGTCCCTTCTCATTTAAATAGCAGAACATCTTAAACAGCCACAGCTAAATGCAAGTTCTGGTGTGTGGGTGCTTTGCATGTGTGCAGGGGTCATATGCTACCGCTATGTGTATGTATATGTGTGGTATCATTTTTTCTAAATGACCACTCAAGCTAAGATGCTCATTGAAACGTTGAGACTAGTTTCTGTAGCCCCTAAAATGTTTTAAAACATTTAGTTTTATCTTTGTTTACCTTTTGTACACAGTTCTGTGTTGTGCTGTTTTTTGTTTTTGTTTTTTTTTTTACTTTAAACAGATTTTTTTTTTCAGCAACAACCTAGAAGTAAGCGTTTTTGCATTGATGCAGAATGGTTTGAGATGCAAATTATTACATTCTGGGGATTTTTTCCCCTTTTTTATTTTTACATATTTTTTTTATTAGAATCAAAAAGGAAAATGTAAAACATTTCAAAGCTGCTCTTTTAAGACTTTAAAACATAACTTCCACCTACATCTTCAAGTTGGCTGCTTCATACCTTTAAAAAAAAACTAATTATTACCACAACTTCAATCAACCAAACTGGACAAGTGTGTGGTGAAAATATGTTTTCTCTTTCCAGTTCTACTCTAAGTTTCAGTAGTGGCACCGATATGAAAATAAAAGGAGGAAGAGAGACGTTTTTTCTGTAGTACTGGACTGACATCAAAACTGTTCCTTCAGCGCAGGAAACAGATGTGTTTCTACACTTACCTGATCAGGAGAGTTTTCATGGGTGAAGACCCAGGTCCCGTTGGGTTCCACGGTCAGATTCCAGCCAGGCGGGGTGGTCCGGTCCAGGTTTGCCCGAGGGATGATGGTGCGGCTCACTTGGTTATAGGTGTACTCTTTGTGGAGGGTAGGAGGTCTGGCCGCGTTGAGCTCCTCGTAGGAGTCGGTTTGATCTGCACCTGGGTAATCCTCCGGCGGGTAGTCCTCCTCAGGTAATGGTGGCTGGGAATAAAGATGCACAAAAAAATTTATTCAAAAGATAATTGATTAGTTTTTAAAACGGAATGAAAAAAATCTTTTCTCAACAACGGTTTTAGCTTTTAGCTATTATATTGACAATTTTGGCTTTTAGCTACCATTTTGCTAATTTAGACTTTTTGCTATGATAATGCTGGATTTAGCTTTTAGCTAACATTGTGTCTTTCTTAGCTTTCTGCTATAGTTTTGCTAATACTTGATTTAGTTACTGTTTTGCTATTGCAAGTTTTTTTTAGCTACGATACAGTCGGATGGACAGACAGTCCAATTGAAGTTTCAGCCACAGTTTTGCTACTTTTAGCTACAATCCACCCCTTTTGAACTTTTAGCTACAGTTTGTTGCATTTAGCTTTTAGCTACAGTTGTAATTTTTTGGCTTCTGCTATAGTTTTGCTAATATTTTATTTATCTAGTGTTTTTTAATTTAGTTTTTTTTAGCTGTAATCCAGCACATTTTAACTTTTAGCTAGTTTTGCTACATTTAGGTTTTAGCTACATATTAGCTAATGTTAGCTTTATCTAAGATTCTCAGTTTTTTTAGCTTCTATCAACAGTTTTGCCAATAATCAGTTTTTACCATTTTGTTCATTTTAGCTTTTTGCTGTGGTTCTGATACATTTAGCTTTTAGCTACTATTGTGCTTTTTAGCTTTCTGTTATAATTTTGCTTACACTTGATTTATCTACCGTTTGGCTAATTAAATTTTTTAGTTACAATTCAGTACATTTTAACTTTTAGCTATGAGCAAACAATTTTTAACTTTACTGTTTTGCTAATTGTAGCTTTAAGATACAGTTTTGCTAATTTTAGCTTTGTTTGCTACACTCAGCTTTTAGCTAGTTTATCTAATGTTAGTTTTAATCTAATTTTTTAAAAGATTTTTAGTTTTTAGACAGTTTTGCTCATTTTTATCTTCAAGTTACTGTTTTGTTCAGTTTAGCTTTTAAGCTATTATTTTACCAATTTGAGCATTTACATACTGATTTCCTTATTTTAGCTTTATTGTTTGCTTCACTTAACTTTTATAATTTTTTTCCACTGTGACCTTTGTCATGATGTCCATCATAAAAACATTTCCATAAATGTGAAGTTTCACTCTCTTGACCCATAAATATTCTCTCTCCGCCTCAGATAAAGTCATTCAAGGGTAAAAACCGGGTCATGTGCTGCTTTGGTTCTGGTCAGAATCTGTGCTGTAATTAAAACATGCGTGTGGTTGTAGATTTGTGGTCAAATGTTTTTTTTTTATATTTCCTCCCAGTTTAATTCAAAAATAAATCCCATTTTAGTGGATTTAAAATGAGGACAGGCGTCTGCCTGAGAATACGGACATAATTCATGTCTGCTTTGTAAGGCCAGGAGATTTAATTTCACTAAAAGTAGAACGTCTTTACGGTTTTCCCCTGGGTGAAGCTAAAACTGGAGAAGTGAAGTGGAGCAGCCGGGCTGGTCTGTCCTTACCGGTCCATCGTTATGAAACCTGTGCACGCTCATAGGCTCCATCAGTAGGGGGTACGGGCTCTGCTGCTCAGGAGGCTCCCAGGACGTCTCCCCTGACGTCGGGTTGTAGAAATAAGGCTGACCACTGGTTTCATCCACCAGCTGCTCCCAGTCTGATGACCACCTGGAAGCGGGGGACGTGGGCAGGAAAGGTGACTGGAGGGGCGACGGGGAGCAAGGTTCCTTGGCGGGGAGGTGCTCGGGGTCCGTGGGAGACTCTGAAAGGGGGTTGTCCCAGGTGGTGCGCCCCGTGGCGGGGTGGTAGTAGTACTCCCGTCCGCTCTCCTGGTCAACATGCACCTCCCATCCCTCCTGGCTGAGGTAGGAAGGAGAGCAGGGAGAGGGGTCCGACGGGGGCGACTCTGAGACACTTTGACGAAGCTGTGCTACGTTGACGTAGACGGCTGTGTGACGACTCTCATTCTGCACCTGAAGAGAAGGTTAAAAATGAGAAAAACGACATTCAAACTCATCCACAGGTACCTTTACAATAGATAAAGCTTTCATCTGAAGGTTTAAGACCCGGTTCAGTGAAGAAGTGTTGCCATAGTTTATGAAGAATCTTGAGTGTCCTCTTGGTCCTTAAATTATGTGATGAGGATGACTTTCATCTACTATGACACCAAATTTTAGCTTGATATCTGTAAAACTGATCAAGCAAGATACATTTTTGTGTTGGCTAGGATTACAAATATAAAAGCTGATGTCTGACGTTTATTTATTTCTATCACGAATTGAAATATGAGTGTAAAACAGTAAGTCATCCAATACTAAAAAATCCAATAATAAAAAAAGATCTAATAAAACAAAAGAAAAAAATAGAAAAAAACTAAAAACAAGTCATTAAGTAAAAAAATAATGAAAAAGAAATGAAAAAGAAAATAAACAATGATGCATACAAAATCAAAATGTCAAGGAAAGCAAAACTAAGTTAAAAACAAGTCATGAATGAAAAGGAGCAGAAAGAAGTCGTATGCTGACAGTGAAATCAAAAGTTCACCGTTAGCATACGGCAAAAGTAATTCAACACAAAAAATTACAACAAAACAATACTTTAGACAATATGATAACGCTTCAAAGTAATTTTCAAGTTTTTTTGAAATACAAAAAAAGATTTTGACTCTTATCAAGACCGTTCCACAAACTAACATCCTTAATTGAGATACATCTTCCCTTTAATACAGTTCTGAATCTATGTTTTCCACAAGTATTAACACCTTGTATATATTTTCTCTTCTGATAAATCTGCTTTGGATGTTGTTAGGTAACAGATTTTGTCCAAACACATCTACAGCTGCTTTCACCAAAATGGAAACAAAAATTGTGTCATCATAGGGAGTTTTGCGGCAAAGCAGTTTCATAAAACAGACAAAACAAAACAGAAAGAATGTACCTCAGCTACAAGCTATAAGCTAACTATAGCTCTGCTGCTAAAGCAGCACAGGAAGTCTGAACCCACACAAAGCTCTGGGCTGCTCCTCCTACACTCAAAGATCAATGAAGTCCGGAGGCGTTTTGTTTTGCAAGAATGCAAACAAACCATGACTGGAGGCTTTCCTGCCAAATTGAACTGTACTTATAAAATCATCTGCGTTGTGTTTTTACAAGTGCTGTTAAGAAATAAACTACCATATAAACATCAACATGTGGGCACAGGTCAATTACAGCGAGCTGAAACTGGTTCAACAGTCWGGCGTTAACGTTTCGTCCAACTTTCTAACGTCAACCTGCCATAAAGAGAAGCTCCTCGGTGTTACAATCTTTGTTTTTGTCAGCAGGAAGCTGTTGGTCCGCAGAGCTCCACAACAGCTAGGTCAGAACTGTTTTTAGCACCTGAGAGACATTTCAAAATAAAAGACATTAAAACGTGAACCAAAGATGTTTTTATTTCTTCTAGCTCAGATGACTGTAGCACACTCTTAGCAAACAGCTACAGGATTTCTAACTGGAACAAAAAAACAAAGTCTGTTCACTGYTTACTCATTAAATTTAAGATTTTATTTTTACAAATCCATTTTTTTTAACTTTATACACTTTTTCCTCATATAAACACGGATGTTTCTTCAGTTCCTTTAAAAACACTTCTCATAAAAATCTTTATGACTGTCCTTTTGTACCACTTTTAGCTAGCTTTGCTAGTTTTAGCTACTGTTTTGCTGTAATTACCTACTTTTCCGCCCTTTTAAGTTTTGATCTAGGCTGTGTCCAAAACGACAGGCCAGGTCCTCCGGAGGACCCAGACTCCCCGGTCGCGGCGGGCCGGGTCCTTGGTAMACCGYGAAGACCGGAAAAAAAAAAGAGTCTGTGAATTTGGACGGTCTAGCCTCCCCTCCTTACCCCGGCGTACGTCAGGTCACCTAGCAACTGTGACGACGCTAAACAAGCAAACTTAAATCAAAATTAGAAAAATATCAATATATTAGCATTATTAATATC